ACTAATGTTGTAAATATACTTTTAATGTATACTTTATGACATTATTTTTCGATTTGATCAAGAACGTAAACCAATGCCAACACTGTTTGTGCAACGCTGTATACATATAGTAGCCAGTCAGATGCTATTTTGTGTAAGACAAACATGTATAAAGTTAAAAAAAATATAGACAAATTACCATTCAGAAACGTTTACTAAGAGCCGTGTGTGGTGAGGTTCTGCTTGCCTCTCTTCATCGCCACTTTCTGGGTCTGATTCTGGCTCAAACTGATACTGCTGTATCGACACCATTATGTACATTTGACATGAACACATGCAACTTTGCCCGTAAAGGTAATGGGTGTGAATTTTTCCAGACAACGTGCTCTACAGTTTAGCCAATCACAACACACCGGCCCAAACTAACCAATCTGAGCCCATTTCCTGTTTCTGAGGGAGTGGTTTCATAGACTCAACATGTAAACCGGTCGCTCAATTGACAAAGGAGAAAGCGGCTTAAAATAAAGGTGAAATTTATGAAAAATAAGACTTTTAAAAAAAGAAAAACCACGAATACATGTTATATTGCACCCCATAAACACTATCATGCAAAGAAAAAAAAGCAGTAAACCACCCCTTTAATAAAAGCATTGAAGAAATGTCGCTCATTGTTTGTTGTGAATTATCTGGTACAAATTGAACCGTATTGTAAAGTGTCGCCTCAAACATTTTTACATCGCAAAATGCTAATCTGATCATTATGTTATGTTCATTCAACTGTTTAAAGGGATAGTTCACCAAAAACAAATCATTAATCCATCCACATATCATTTCAAACCTATATGACTTTCTTTCTTCTGTACAAGACATTGTAAATTGTCTAGGGTTATTTGTCCATAAAATGAGAGATGGGGCAGTTTGTAATAGATAATGACAGAGCTGTAGTTACTCTTTCAGAGAGTAAATAGTGTTACTGTTGATAATATTGTCTCTGTTAAGCACTTTTTACCTCCTGCAACGCGAACACCTGGAGCAATAGCATCATTTGCGCTAATGATAGCTAATCCGCTCAATTAGCAAAGTACACATTTGTAATCTGCTAGCAGGCAAGTTTACATACTCTTCATCTTTCTCTTGCAGACTAATGCCCTACGACATTCACAGTACTGTGGCAGCACACAATCCCCTGTGGTAACAAGCTAACAGAGGAGCCGTTTCATCCGATTGTTCGCAGGCACAACAAATGGCTTATTCTTTCCACATGTCCCTCTCCCTCTGTCTCTTACTCAGTCTCGTTCTGCCTCTTTCAGTCCATACCACACGAGACCGCATTCACTTATTTATCCCATTAATTAGCTTGAACAGTTAATAGCGCTTCCCACAATAGCTGCCTCAGCAGTTTTTGCTCGGAGTTGGTGTCACCAAATCAATATCGAGTCGAGCATAAAGCACTGGAGGAACTCAGATGCAGGACTGTGCGCTCATGGCTGCTTCTCTCAATGTTTTTTTCTGTTAGAAGCAAGCCATCCCTGCACCAATATGCATAACACCATGTGATTTTTTTTTTTTTTTTTTTTTTTTTTTTTGTATTTTTTTTTTTTTTATGATTGGACAATATTTTTACACCAGTAAGATCAGATTTTGGTAACAACTGAGCACTGACTGTTTTACATCATCAAAAGAGTGCAGCAGTCGGGTTTCAGATTCATTTTCTCCTTGCAGGAACAAAAATGTATAAACCTTTAAAGACAGACCTACTGTGATTTACGACGAGGTTGTTATTGGATGGCTTATGCGTTTGTTCTGTCAGTCTGTATTATTTCAACTTTTTTTTAAAGCAGAATTCCTGTTGAAATCCACATTATCCATGATTCCTGAAATCACTACTAATCAGAGAATTGCGACAAAAACTCGTGGGGCCCTATTTTAACGATCTGAAACGCAAGTGTAAAAGCACAAAGCGCAAGTAACTTTGTGGGCGGATCCCGGTGTTGTTGCTATTTTCCCGGCGGGATAAATGACTCTTGCGCCAGGCGCAAATCTAAAAGGGGTGGGTCTGAAGTAGCTTCATTATTCATAGGTGTGGTTTGGGCGTAACGTGAAATAAGCCAATCAGAGCGCCATCCAACATACCCTTTTAGAGCAGGTACGCATGTTGCATGATGGATTGTTATTATAACGATGAGTTTACCAGGCGCGCGCCAGGAGCAGTTCACAGCCGAGAAGACCGACGTTCTTATCAGGGCAGTAAAAGATAGAGAAGTGACGTTGTATGGGTATGGGAGAACCCCACCCACATCAGCGTCGGTTAAACATTACGTATGTTACTTGCCACTATTGGGCAAACAGTTCTGATCCTTCAGTACTACAATTAGTCTTAAAAAATGGGTAATTAGGCTTTTTTCATCTTCATGTAAATCACAATGATTTCCCTCATGTGTTAATATTTTTCCTTGTTATAATGTATGATTTGCAAGAATAAAAACTGCTGCATCTGTGTTGATGAGAGAATCAAAGTGTATGCGCGTGTAACCCGCTACATGATGGCCAAGCATGCGTGCTTAAAATAGCATTATGAACAACGCGCCACTGACTTTAGACCAGGTTTTTTCTGGTCAGTGGCACAATTGTTTTCTGGAAGTGTAAAATAGCACCAGGGAATGTTTGGTCATGAAGTTTACAGTCTTTTTGTTTCACCTCGTAGCTGGTGGTTTTGGTTCATGGCTTATAATTGTTAAATAAATACTTTTTTAAAAATCCCAATGGGAAAATACTTCCAGTAAAAGTGGGCTCTGTTGTACTCTGTGTCATCCTTGACATGCCACTGCGCACAGCTAAATTTAAGCAATTTGTTGGCTCACGCTGAAAGAAGGATTTTGAGGTCATTTTTAGTACAATTGTAATAATGAGAGCTCTAATGAACAATGTATTTATCTTGCAGACAAGTTCTTCATTTGACACTGGAGGACTGTTGCTCAAACTTCATCTTAAGATTCATTGACAAAGCAATTAACCCGCTGTCGATCATGTCACACCAAGCAATCAAAGATAATTCCCAAAGTTCGTCTCAGACAGAAGAGCTGTGGCAAAAAATCACATACAGTCGTGTGCACTGAGCTGACGTGATGATAACACTAAGAATTCTCCTCACATCATGAGGAGAAGGAAGAATGTGTCTAGGATTTTGAAGAACAGAAATTGGAAAAAATCAAATCAAAAAAGCTTGCAGCCAGTTGCAGGATTTTCTTGTTTGCTTTTGCTGTTCTTGTTGTTTTCGTTTAACAATGCAGCATGAGTGCTTAGCATTTAGATGACATGTTTGAGGAGAGGTGCAGCAGATCAGATGCGCTGCGTGAAGAGTTTCACAGATAGCGCCAGGCTTCCAGGGCAGAGAGGCATACGGGCAGGCGGGCACAGCTCTACCCATAGAATCTACCCACTGTCAACACCATTGTGAATGACTCGGTGACGAGCCAATCAGCACGGGTGCCAACGAACAGCTTAGAGTGCCTTCTGCATGCCAATGAATGTAGCGGCTCCAAGAGCCATGAGCTTGCCAACGAGGGACTCGAAGTCTTGAGGGGTTAAGAGGTTTTTATAAACATTGAATGAGCAAATGGAAAGTTGGAAGTTTCTTCAACTTGATCTGGGAGTAAAGACTTCAAAAAAAAGCCCAGTGAATTGCAGAATACAGTGCTGGCTAATTTGAGGCGCTTTGAGAGCATTGTATTACCACCATTAGCAGGGTTGAGAGTGTTGCAGGCAGTGATGGGCAGCAACTAAACTAAAATCACTTCTAACTTGGCCATATCATTCAGTGGAAATGATGTCGATGGATGGGTCGGTCATTTTCAGGCGACAACCTTCTTGTCTCTCTCTTGAATTCCGAAAGTGACTTAAACTGCAATTCATCGACTGAGTGCTATAGAGACAGGCTCCAAAAGAGAGTCAATCCCATAAACCCCCATGTTAAAATGGCCAACATTACAGCAGAAAAGAATATGTGTACAGCCTAGTACAAAAAGTGGTTTTGGTCTATATAGCTAATTTTACCCTTCATGACAACAGTGTGGGGGGTAACCCATACATTTACATTATATTAAGTTACATTATATTAAGATATGGATTGCCATCGCTGTCACAACTAGCCGTTTGTCTGCTGTCTGATAGCCGTCCCGTCACCTCAGCTAATCCACCTGCATAAATGTCTGGACACTGCCAAGAAAGAGAGCCGGATCTGCCCACTTTGGGCTTCAAAAATGCTCCTCAGAAACCTACGGGTGACTTCACGGACACTACGTCCTTATTTTTCATACAGTCTATGGTCATTGTCAAAATAGATATTTCAAAAATCTCAATTTCAGATAGCTAAGTAGTAAATATTAACATTTTGACATTGCTACTAATCATGAAGGACAACTTGACCCATTGTTATTTTTATTTTATTTTTAGGAAAGGGTTGCAACACTGTCTATAAATTTGAAAAAAGTTGGTTTCAATATAATCTCAAAACACAAGCCACTGGTCAGATTCAGCTAAACATTTAAAATACTCTTATGGAAAATAACTTATTTTTTAATGTTAGGAACATCACAATGTGCACATTTGAACAGCATCTTCTTACTCTGAACCTTGATTTTGGGAGTATTTTTATACAAACTTATTTTAATGTTTTGATTGATAATTTTATATTTTAATTTAAACGCATTAAACTGAAATGATTAATTACTTTTTGGGGGGCAACTTGTTAAACGTATAACCTGGAAAACAATTATAAACAAATAAAAAAAACCTATTCAGGTTAATATTATTTAATTAATGGTTGTTATGGAATGAAACCTTTTATATGGAGTTTCTTGACCATTTTAAATCGTGTCACCATATTTTGAGAATCACCCTCACACAGTTTTTTATTTTATTTGGTATAATTTTAATGATGAAACATTTCTGACATTTATTCATTGATATCGTAAGATATCGTGAAATATCTGACCTCTATTTTCTTTCTCTTTTTCTAACAGCCTCTGCCCAAGGAGCCATCCTAAAGGACTTGAGATTGCCGTGAGGAGGTGAGTGGTGCTCCAGTAAAATTATCTCTTATTTGCTTTTCCTTAGTAAGTCATCATTGTCTCTGAATCTAATATGCGATGACGGAGGTCGTCCAGCGAGCAGGTCCGAAGCAGAACGGCGACAAAAAAAAATGGGGCGGACGACAAGAGCGCTATCACAGCGTTTGCTTTAAAGCAACATGACAGATACAGAGCACAGGTACAGAGGTGGAATAAGGCAGAGCAGAAATCGAGTGGAAATCTTATCATTTATCCAGCCAATTGTGCCCCGGCGGCGTTGATGAAGTTGTGTTAAGAGTGACGCACCTGATCAGCAGAAGGGCTAAAGCAGGATTAGAGGGCAGCTGGGGGCGCCGGTTTTTGCCGCGGTTCGGGAGATGAAGGGAGAAGATGATGTTGCAAGACGTGAGCTGAAACCCAAAATCCCTTGTGCTCTGCCTCAGTAGTCATTGCAGATGGCCTGATGGTAGCAAAGAAGGAGATACGGTTATATTTAACAAGATATATTTACATGCCAGCTGTTGTTTGTCTTTCCGTCATGCTTCAAGCGATTCCCGTCGAGTGTACATGGCTTGGGAAAGACTAGTTTTGCAGTGCGGGAGGACAATATGAGGACAGGAATTTGCATAAATGTATGTTAATCCTTGAGGCAATTAGCACCTGTCAGTTTCCGAGAAATAGCTTTCCAGTCTTTCTATTACATGGCAAAATAAAATGCTGAATATTGTTCAGTTCTAATAATAAAGTAATAGAACACCAGTCCTTTGGGAAACAATGCCTTTTCATGCCAGTGTTATTCCAACAGTCAAACCATTGGAGTTGAACATGCCTTTAGTTCTTTGAAAAGCACTTTATTAAAAAGCTAGTCATAAGGGAAGAGTTTTTATTGAAAATCTCCATTATAAAAGGCTCCAGAGTGAGCACTTAAGGAACATCTCAGAGAGAAGCTGTTGCGTAAGACTTCTAGGGCGGATTGTAGGCTGTGGACTCCTCGGTGGTTCCAGAAAATTAAATTCTCTATGGCCTTCTGGTCTATGTTATCACCATTTCCAACATAGTGCGTCCTTCTCTCAAGACAGTGTGCCACATGTATCACAAGTCAATCTCGAATAGATGGAGAACAGCAAAGGGAGAGCCCCATAAATATTTACATGGAAACAAACTAGAATGTACAAAATTGTATTCTGATTTTGGCAATCACATTGGCGTGCATAAAAAACTATTTAAAAATAGCGCGGTTAATCTGGCGCGTGCAATGATGACGCAGTGAATGGTGACGATTCTCTCTGAGCAATCAGCAGTCGGCATTGTTTTCACGTCACATTTTAGTATCGGCTCAGCTCGAGGCCAACAGAGAAGGAAATGAATAGTTGAATAAAGTCATTATTTTTCTTTGTTTTTTGCGCACAAAAAGTATTCTCGTCGCTTGATAAACTTAAGATTGATCCACTGGAGTCACTTGGACTATTTTAACGATGTCTTTAACTTTTCTGGACCAGCTAATTTTGATCCCTTAAGAAGCATATGGAGTGAGACAGCGCTTAGATTTTATAAACAAAACATCTTAATTTGTGTTCCGAAGATGAACGAAAGTCTAACAGGGTTGGAACAACATGAGGGTGAGTCATTACTAACAGAATTGTAATTTTTGGGTGAACTATCCCTTTAAAGTTTCTTCATGTAATCAAAGACGCCAATAAATAACCTTTAGTGCACGGTAAAAAAATATTGTTAGTTTAACTTAAAAAAATTAAGTAACCTAGTTGCCTTAAAAAAATGTAAGTTAATTGAACTGGAAAAAGTGAGTTAATGCAATGAAGGAGATTGATTTAATCATCAGAAACTCAAAATAATAAGTTATCTGAACTAAATAAATTAACAAAAGAAAAAATGTTGTGATAACAAATCTGGTGTGGTTACTAGAATGTTAATATTGCGTTACTCATTTGTTCCTATGCAGTTATTCATTCATGACGGAACCGTATTCTAAAGTGTTACTGGAAGATTAATTATGAACGTTGATTAAAATAGAGCTGAGGACTGTACTAAAGCATGATTGTATTTAAAAGAATTGAATATCTTAGCAGGACAGCAGCTCGGAGGAAACGATGCTGATTAGGGCACAGGCAATGTTATTTACATATTTAATTTTAATTCTCCAAGTGTGAATTAACACTCAGACAGACAACGGGTGGCATAATTTCCCCTTTAAAAAAACTGCCATACGATGTGCGCAGCCACACTGAAAGGCCTGCGTGTAACAAAATAATCGTTTTGCTAAGGCTTTCTTGCATTCACCCTCTGCCATTTACATTTTTCAAAAAGCATGTGCCTTTCAAAGCAGATGCTCTTCAGAACGCTGTCATATAAAAATCATCATTCGCTAAGTAAACACAAACAATAGAGCCACACAAGATCAACAAACATGAAAAGACGAGGCAGGAAAAGGTAATGCATGTCGTTTTTTCTTGCCTTTGATCATGCCGCGAAATGCATTTCCCTAATGTCCTCGTCGATGCTTTTCTCTTTGTGTGTGCACAGGTTTGCTGACATTCACAGGAGCGACGCCAAACAGGAATCATCCATCAGCCCCCACACATTTGTGTCCATCCTCTCATCTCGGAGCTAAAGATATCACCTGCCCAAATCCACATCACCCTCAAACAGGAAATGGAACCCGTGCACCATCAGTCAAGCGTCTCTACTGTTACATGCAGGTCATCGAGTCCCAGCAGCCACCATCATCCCACAGCAGGGGACGTGCAACCTTTCTTAGTGAAACCTTGACATGATTCCACTGTTTCTGTTTTGATCTTGAGATACATTGGCTAGGAGAACATATCACTCGCTTTCCAATTAAGCAGACAGAGAAGACTGTTCGTGCAAGATTATATAAGTGAACAGGTGCGAGGGTGTTGCTTAAGAGCGATCTTGATGGACCCCGACTGCGTTTTCAGAGCGAGGACATGTCGTCGACTAAAGGCCAAGGATGCGCAGGGACCTTTAAATATACACCTCTGTGTAAAGGGATAACGTGTTTTCCTTTCAAGTCGAGAATTGAGAAAAGCGGACAAAGCAGCGGATGACTGATGTGTCCTGTAGATTTGACCTCGCGTGGTTTGAACGTATGGATTGTGTGCTGTTGAGCTCTGTCTGCGAACGGCAATGCACTGATGCCGTCTACTCTAATCATTGGTGATTTAAAGATTAGCAAACAATGTGTGGATGTCATCTGTCCCTTCCTCTCTGGGGCGTCTCTTTCACTCTCTGCTTTAAATGTCTGTCTCTAATGGATATATCGTTTCTATCAATACTTTATTTGGACTGTAAATTGACACTTGCCTAGATAGGAAATAAAGGGTGTGTCTATGTAAATGTGCACAACGTTTTGAGGAGTCTCTCCATGGGCCAAGCTGATTCGCTGCTTAAAGTCAACATGAAGTCATAATATTAATAATAATATTCGGTACTTTCCTGTTATCCGGACTAGAACCAGATCGATATATCGGCAGACCGATATTATCGGCCGATATTAGGCATTTTCCAAACTATCGGTATCGGCAGTTATAATTGCAGATAAATTAATATTTCAAAAATAAAATAAAAATGGACAAAACACGCTTGAACCATGTTATGAGTGTTGGAGTTGTATAGTTTGTCCACCAGAGGGCACTCTACACCGTTCCTGTTGGCAACACTCGTTGAGTTGGTCACAATGTCACGAAACATACATTGCTTGAATAACAATTAAAAGAACATCCCCATCAGGTCTCTTAACTCAAATAAGCATGACAAAATTTGTGACTATCATGTCCAGTTTAAAAAAATAAATAATGAAAAAATATCGGCCGATATATCGGAATATCGGATTTTAAAACCCAAAAATATTTGTATCGGTATCGGCCTTCAAAATCCTTTATCGGTCGGGCTCTAATCCGGACCCCACGATGGCCTACCCCTAACCCCGCCCCTAAACCTACCCGTCACTGGGGTTAAGACCAATCAGGGATGACTAGTTCCGAAATGGTATATCGTGGGGTCCAGATAACAGGAAAGTACCTAATAATCTTATTGGTTATAGTGCAGTATCTTGTTATATAGCGCATAGTAGTATCTATGTAGTGAATCCTTGCACATAAATGAGTAAAAACGAATGTTAAATGCTTTGCAAATGCTGATTCATGTTTTCAAAAAGTCAAAATCGACCTACTTAGTAGACATTGGTCTTATTTTGTAAAATGTTAATCGTCACCAAGTCCACTTACATCTCATCCAGCAGGGTGCTCGACTGACTGCTAAATTTGAACCATTAATTGAATTCCAATGGCTAAACTACAATATTTCCTGTATTGTAAATACATGGTAGAATTTAAATAGTGCTGTCTCATGTTGACTTTTAAGATGCGTTTTTGTGTTTTGCTCTTTGTTTCCTCTAAAGCAGTCTGCTTTTCACAGAGCACACAGATCTATTCTCAAATCGGTTCTCTGCATGGCCAGTGAAGGAGATCAATCCATATGATGAACGTAACTGGTTTCATGTAGCTGAGAAAATAGCCACTGTCCCGGAAGATGAAAGAGTAAAAGAATATGGTCACTTTCAGTGAACAGTAGTAATTCATCAGTCTCACGAGCTAGGCCCGGCTCCCTCAGTTGTGAATTTTAATGGTGTTTTTATGGTTCCTAATAAAGTCTGTTATGCTTCTGGCAAATATGCAGAGCACGACATCGCTCGCTTCCAATTACTGAGAAACTCGAGCAGATTCAGTGTTCATTCGTTATGGCATGTAGTTATTTAGGAATAGCAGGACTATCTCTCTTTCTCTTTCCTTCTCTCATGAAATACCAGTGTATTTGGAGTGGAGTGACAGTGATTTCTTTTCCTCCCTCAAAGTGGTCCATAATCACTCTTGTCCAGATCCATTCCAGGTTTTCTATTCTTAGTGCTCGCTCGTTCCCTACTTCACTCACTGGTGGTGAGAGGATCCAAGGGGTCAAGGTTTGGCTGGTTTAGCATGGTCCAGTTTGCCCCTGCTGGTAGATATAGTAACTACACCATCTGATCCTAAACAGCAATTTTTTGAGTTGTGGCCTAATGGTTAGGGAGTTGGACTTCTAGCCCGAAGGTTGCGGGTTCAAGTCTCAGTACTGGCAGGAAATGTATGTTGTGGAGTGAATGAACAGCGCTTTCTTCCACTCTCATTATCCACAACTGAGATGCCCTTGAGCAAGGCACCAAACCCCCAATCGCTCGACTGGGCGCCACAGCAAAAATGCCTGCCCACTGCTCCAGGTGTGTGTGCACACCACTTGATGGGTGAAATGCAGTGCACAAATTTGGATACATGTCATGTCACTTTTTTATTGACGCCATTGAAAATAACCTGTTATGTGTTTTTTGTTTTGTTTTTTGCAAGCAGCATTTAAATAGTATTTCTTAATAGATATTTTACTTTATATTTTATAATATTTATTATCCTTTTCTGTCTGCTGCCTTTGAAATCACTGCACGGGATAGTAACTAATGAAGTCCAGTGAAAATCACAGTTTGTTTCAACATTTGAATATTAACATTTCATTTTATTGTAGTAGATGTTTTATTAGTACCAGATATTAACCTTATTTCTTATCAGTCTTGTTGTATTTGTCATAATTGTGACTTTTTTCACAGTTATGTTTCTTGTTCTATCCATTAATTGTGATTTTATTTCTTGTAATATTAACAGTACTTATTTTATTTCAGATGATTTTTTTTTTACACACTGAGCCAAAAAAAAAAAAAAAAAACAGGCTTATACGTATAGGCTGTCCGTCATTAATTTCCACCTAATATTTTGTATTTTTGTTCATTGTTATTTCACAACAATATTTCCTTCAGAATACTAACACTGTTTACCGCATGACGGTATTGGAGCGATCCTGGAGCGAAGGTCTGACTTTCAATAAAACGCTACCCGCTCCAGGCAAAAAATCTCACAACTCTGCATCTCTTCACAGCGCTCACATACTCTGCTGTCTTTGAGTTTATCCCTCAAGTGCTGTTGTTAAAAAGCTTGGTGTGTACTGCTCTGACAGCATTATTCTTTTACATTTCAGATGACATGACATCCCAATGTGATCCTGCAAGTCCTCAAGGCTTCTGCCTCCACTGTACCTGTGATTTATTATTTATCAATAGGAACAACCTCATTAATGGCCTGAAAGTCTTCAACATCAACATCATCAGCATCATTCCTGTGATTCCTAGGTGACATTTATGTACATATTTGCTCATTGTGAGTAGTGCTTGTGGTTATCGGATCAATAAGGCCATAACATGAAATCACGAGTGCAGAACGGTCCTGAGAGGTTGCGTTATTACAGCAATATCTCTGCTGTCGGCCCGCTGTGTCAAGCTCCAGCACTTTCGTGTGGTCTATCTATCTATCAATGCTAACCATGAATGAAGCCATCATCTGTCACATTCTCATGATTTAAGACCACATATGAATACAGTGCATGTAATTCTCATGTACACTCACCTAAAGGATTATTAGGAACACCTGTTTAATTTCTCATTCATGCAATTATGTAATCAACCAATCACATGGCAGTTACTTCAATGCATTTAGGGGTGTGATCCTGGTCAAGACGATCTCCTGAACTCCAAACTGAATGTCAGAATGGGACAGAAAAATGATTTGAGCAATTTTGAGCGTGGCATGGTTGTTGGTGCCAGGCGGGCCGGTCTGAGTATTTTACAATCTGCTCAGTTACTGGGATTTTCAAGCACAACCATTTCTAGGGTTTACAAAGAATGGTTTGAAAAGGGAAAAACATCCAGTATGCGGCAGTCCTGTGGGCGAAAATGCCTTGTTGATGCTAGAGGTCAGAGGAGAATGGGCCGACTGATTCAAGCTGATAGAAGAGCAACTTTGACTGAAATAACCACTCGTTACAACCGAGGTATTCAGCAAAGCATTTGTGAAGCCAAAACACGCACAACCTTGAGGCGGATGGGCTACAACAGCAGAAGACCCCACCGGGTACCACTCATCTCCACTACAAATAGAAAAAAGAGGCTACAATTTGGAAGAGCTCACCAAAATTGGACAGTTGAAGACTGGATAAATGTTGCCTGGTCTGATGAGTCTCGATTTCTGTTGAGACATTCAGATGGTAGAGTCAGAATTTGGCGTAAACAGAATGAGAACATGGATCCATCATGCCTTGTTACCACTGTGCAGGCTGGTGGTGGTGGTGTAATGGTGTCGGGGATTTTTTCTGGGCACACTTTAGGCCCCTTAGTGCCAATTGGGCATCGTTTAAATGCCACGGCCTTCCTGAGCATTGTTTCTGACCATGTCCATCCCTTTATGGCCACCATGTACCCATCCTCTGATGGCTACTTCCAGCAGGATAATGCATCATGTCACAAAGCTCAAATTGGTTTCTTGAACATGACAATGAGTTCACTGTACTAAAATGGCCCCCACAGTCATCAGATCTCAACCCAATAGAGCATCTTTGGGATGTGGTGGATGTGCATCCCACAAATATCCATCAGCTGCAAGATGCTATCCTATCAATATGGGCCAACATTTCTAAAGAATGTTTTCAGCACCTTGTTGAATCAATGCCACATAGAATTAAGGCAATTCGGCGAAAGGAGGTCGTTCACAGTATTAGTATGGCTAATAATCCTTTAGGTGAGTGTACTGTATATTCCACCAGGACTTCAGCAGTTCTGCAGGATTCTGATTTTGAAGGAGTTCAAAATGTGTCGCTTCACTATTCCGGGGCTTCTCTGGTAGTTATCCACCCGGAGGCATTTGTCATTAAGTCTATATAACGCAAGTATAATTGGGGTTTATGCCCGAATTAAGAGATCGTTACACTTAATTACAATGAATCATGGTGCTCGATGATGTCTGGGCCAGCTGATATAAAACAGCCGATAATGTGAGAAAGAGAGAGGCATGCAGAGGCATAATTATCATTCTTTGTCATCTTTAAGATCCTGATATTAAAATTACATGCACAGGACTTTGTATTTATTTTTTAAAACATTTTTGAGCACTCAATTCCATGTAAGACTTTCATTAGAATCAATGAAGTAATATCAGTACAAAATGTCTAAGTGTGAATTTCATTGAAATTCAGTGAACAATATACCCTTATTCATTGTCTTGAATCGTTTAAAGCCCTTTGAAGATGCGCTGAAACTCTCATTTGGACCTTGAACCGTTTGGTTCCCAGTAAAGTGCATTATACGGAGAAAATCCCGGAATGTTTTCATCAAAAACCTTAATTTCTTTTCGACTGAAGAAAGAAAGACGTGGACATCTTGGATATCGTGGGGGTGAGTAGATTATCAGAAAAAGTTTTTTTTTTTTTTAAAG